CACCAGAATGACACTTAATGTTGAAGGCAGATTACTCCACATCTGCCCACCTATGTTTCTTCAATCTATATTAGATGCTAGAGAGCAACAGAACCAAAATTTGCATGTTGGCATGTTTAGACAAATATAACTCGATTACTGTGAAAATTACTAAATTTGTAATCACATCAAAGCCAAGAAAAGGCAGATATATTAAGAAAGGCACCTGCAAATTTATTTTTCTTCTGTGTCCTGTAAAAACTGCTGAGATAGTAAATTTAAACGTCTTCAAATAAGAATAAAAAATGGAGCCGTGAATGTTTTCTTTTAAGACACAGTACAGACAACAGGGATTATTTTTTATACAGCCAGTTATAAGAGTGTCTTTTAAGTACATATTAATAGTGACTATTCTTGGCTCTCTTATGAGGTTAGAAAAGTTACAATTTCCTAGACCACAGATCCTTAGAAGAAAATCTATTGAATTAAAACGAAATCTTAAGATTTTTTTGTCACTTAAACAAACCTAATTGACTTCATTATACGCAGGAACTGAACATTAGCTTTGAAATAACATTGCTTGAAAATAATCTTCAGAATAAGCATTCTCCCTTATATGTCAAAAATCAAACAATACCTACTACATGATTACTATGTTTTTAAATGAGTTTCCTTTTTAATACCTAAAAAGCTTTTCCACCAAAGGTAAACTCTCCACTCCCAATGGTTGCTGATAGCCCAGTTGATCAAGACGTTTCCTGAGATTAATGAACCTTCGCTCTGCAGTTGTAGTCATTGTAAACACACCTCCAAAGCAGCTTTTGTCATAGACAAGAAAAATAAGAGACCTGCAAAAGATTGTCTGTTATGACATTTGTCCTTTAAAGAGGAATAATACAGAAAAAAGTAATGGAAAAAATACTTTTTGTGTAGAAAATGCAATGCATAAGCATGTCCTTAAAATTTACGTTAAACCAAAAGCGACTCATAGAGCAACTAAAAAGTTTTAAACATATTCACATAATTTTTAAATAAATATTTGCCTTGGCAATAAGTTTTCTCTAACATCTTTGAATATGAACATAAGTTTTTCTTTCCAGTGTGGACGAACTGAACTCTGAAAAGATCTTTCTATGGGAAGACTGTTCTGATTTTTTTGAACCGTGGTTATATTCCACAATGCAGACTGACAGATTATTCTCAACAAACCCATATACTTTTTTCTTTCATCTATAAATCTTACTTTCAAAGTTTACAAGGCAACTTGTCTCTGACAGTTGCCACAGCAAGAGTACAAAAACAAAAAAACAAGAGCCAAACCTTGCTCTATAGTGTGGGGACTTGATGGGCCTAAAGTTGAACTTAAATCACTATAACAGTACCTGATAGACCTTTTGTAGACATGTCTAATTATTTTATTGAATCTTTTGCATTTTTAACTCGAAACAGGCTCCGAAAATGAATTCCTGATTTTAACTATATATGTCTGGAAAAGTATATCATAAGTCATGGGGGTGTGCATGTGTCCCCCTTTTTATGGTAATACATACTAAATAATCATTCCTTATTCATGCTTTCAGGCATTCATGATGGCATCTTCAGCAAATCTGTTTTCCAAAATTTTCTAGTAGCTTGTACAGCTTCTCCCTTTTTCATGCTTTTTCTGAGATCGAGATCACTCTAAGCAGCCATACAGCAACCACAAAGATTCTTTACTATTCATAATGATCCTAACTTATCATTTGCCTCTCTGATTGCTCCAAAGCATCAGTTATATGCATTCATGGTGACACTACCATCTCCGAGAAGTAGCTGCCACTTGAGAGCCCATGATGAACTACCCTGCCTTTATTAACACTGTTCCTTAACAGTTTTCTGCAACCCTAGGGCTGCTCATAACACATCCATATGATGAGCAAGTTTTGTCCCTTGCTGTTTAACCCATTCTTTCTGATCACTGATCAGTGTTAAACTGCAGAAAATGTCCTGCACATTTACCGTGAGGTAGTACTGTCCCCTTTCCTTTAAACCCTTAGTGAGCTATTAAATGACCTTTTCTCAATTTCTGAAAGAGATCTGCTTTCTTAAAAAAGCCTTTGGTAAAGAAACTTCACAAAAGGCTTTTGGAAATCCAAGTTGTCTAAGTTGTTCTTACCCAGTCAACTCAACACAGAATATAATTTTCTTTAAAGAAACTTAATAGCTTTGTTATTCATGATTGAGTCACAAGGAAAGGGACATTGAACTTACTAGACTTCCCTGTAAATTTGCAAAGTACTGAGAAGCACTCTAACAACTTTGTTTCAACATGGTATTTTCCACACGAGGTAGGCTACATTAGCTGCATAAATAGTTCACATCATCTATCATCTAAAGAGTTCACATAATTAGTGCTGCTAGGAAGAGAACAGTATTTCCATTCTAGATGAAAAAAACTCAGAAAATCGGATAAACAAAGAAAAAGGCAAAACTAAATGGTACACTAAATCAGGCATTTCCAGACAAGGATTTATCAAGATGTCTCAATGAATCCATTTTTCAGTTATTCACAGAAGAGATATTCAGATCCAAGAGCCTCATTTTTTGTTCCTCCTTTGTTCATGAAGACTGCTAAAGATGACAACTTTCATACGCTTCACTCTGTGACATGCCTGGATGGCTGTGAGCAGTCTTTTGAAGACCTAGGTGTTTATGAAATAGGCACATTTAGCACCTATGACAAGTTCCCTACTGTTCGAAGTCACCAATGACTGAAATTGAATACTGACATGAAAGATAGGCAATAACAGAACTTAATCTGTTCCTTTAGGCTATAAGTATAGACTCAATTTGCATAAAACTGTGTGAAAGAAGCAATGTTAATAGGGTATTAGCCTGACCAGTACAGGTGAAATATAAAACAGAAAAGCTTTAGCACATTGAAGCCTTCCTTTCAGCCTGAAAACAATGCAGCAAACTTCATGATGAATGTAGGTTAAGAACTGTTCCAGATGAAATACTTGTGCTATCAATAAGAAATTGTAATAAGAAAAAAATAAAGCAAAGATGTATCTCAGCTGCGAAACACATAATACAGCCATTGAGCCATGTGGAAGAAAGATAAAACTACATAACTGACAATGGAACACAAATAAACTAGCACAGACAAATGTATCTGCTATGAAATAAATTTCTTTATTGAGAAACATTAACAGCAACGACATTTACGAACTCAAGTTTTCAGTCTCAGTTCTGGGAAAAATGCGTATTTCATTCATCTGAACTCATATGCTAAAGACTTTTTATTTTGCATGTGTAAGAAATATGTTTACAAAACATCTTTTCCTGTCCTGTTGTTACTGGTCACGTAGCTCATTCAGCTACAAAACTAGCTGAATTCAGCTACTAGCTATAAAAAGCTAGTTTTGTTTTCACCCATGCACAAGAGGCATCTAGTGGACCAGTCATTTGACTATAGCAATGCTCTCATAGGTGTCTCTATACAGTCCACGGACACTGAAAGCTGTGCTGCGACAGGCTGCTACCGTAACATCATTTGCAAGATATGCTGAATGAGCCTGCAACTTGTTTTGGCAAAGGCTGTTTCCAAGTTGATTTCCTGGGAGTTCATTTCCAACTAGATATTCCAACACCACGTTCGCTATGAAGTGTCACCATTTCGTCAACAGGAAGACAACTTCTGCTCTAGAAACGTTTTCTTCTTTAAAGAGTCACCAGAAACTGTAAGCTTACATCACACTACAAGAAAATCTTTAACAATTACACACCTGCCCATCATCTGTCCCCTCAAACCGCAAGCTTTATAGAAGACGTTTCAGCAATACCAGTCTGTACCCACAGAAGGGCAGCGAGTCCCTTTTGAAAGGGTTTTATTCTTCCTTTTTCCACCCTCCCTCCAGGTCGGTCTTACCAGACATACCGTAAAAATTCTCCCAGAAGGAGCCACTAAGGAAGCAGCCGAGGCGTTTCCGTGAGGCTTCTGCAGAGATGCAGCTCCAGCGGGTAAGGGGAAGCTGCAAAACCCCGAGGGAACGAGAGACGAGCGTGCAGGCCAGACACTGGGGGCGGATAATCTGTGTGCCCCAGGGGCTGCTACAACGGCCGCCGCCGGCTCTGCGGGAGCCCAAGCTGGGAGCCCAAGCTAGCCACCGAGCGCCACCGCCCACCTGCGAGGAGGGCCTGCAGCACCCTCCTCCGTCCCCTCCAGGACACGCCGCCCCGGCGGACACGAGCCCTGCCCGCCCGCTACTCTCTTTCCGCAGACCCCGCGCCGCCGCCTAGGCCGCACCAACGGTTTGAAAATGGCGCGCGTAGCAGCGGCTGCTTCCGCCCCGTCACCGTAGCAACGAAGGCACGCGCCCGCAGCCTCCACCGGCCGAGCCAACCGCCAGCCCGCGCCGTCCCGCCCCTTCCCGAGTGACCGGCAGCCCCCGCGCTGAGGGGCGGCGGAAGTGACGTGTTAGCACCGTGGGTGAGCCTTCCCGGGGGGTTTTACGCTAAGGGAAGTTCTGCTTAGTGTAACCCGTGCTTCCCCGCGGTGGCGCCTTGGCTGCCGTTTGTGACGGGAAGGAAGAGAGGACAAAGAAAAAAGGTGTTGAGAAATGGAGCAATTCCACTTCGATGCCCAGAGACAAAACAACGGAAATAACTGCATTGCACCTTCCTGAAATAACACTCCATAGAAGATAGTTTAATTAAGGATTATAGCCACAGTCACATTACATGTCAGAACATGAATTCAGTATTCCCACTGCATAAAGTTCCACACCCATACTTCCTAGAACAAGGAAAGGAAAAGATCTGATAGTCTTTAATGTTTACATAATTTCCAAGATGCAAAGTATTAGTGAAAACAGTAGTATCCTTTTTGCCTACTATGAAGGTAGTGCTTACTGCTTTTAGCAAGAGAAGGGATTATAAATAAAAAGTATCTGAACATTAGGGGAAAGCAAAAACTACATCCAAAGTGTTCCACAGAATTAATTCTTTCAAACAGTACTTGAACCCAGCAGAAGAGCAACAAATCCCCAAAGATTTCATTCTGCCCTGACAGACACTTGAAGCAGGAGTGTAACTTGACATATATGGCACTTAATGACACATACACACAGAAATCCACCTTTTAAATAGCATTCATAGTGTTTGATTCCCTTATACACAGGCACAAACTTTGCTAGCTTCTCTTTCCCACTTAATGAGACTGTGCAATACTGGAGCAGTAGTCCAAAATATCCTGTATAGTGAATTCCATAGTAATTCCTGATCCAGGATAGCAGCGAGCTATCAGCCCTTCAAAGTGCTTATACTGTCGTATAAACTCATCTTGCATGGAATGCCACACAACCTGCCAAAGAAAGCAAACTTTAGGAAATGTCAGCTGGCACAGCACACTGTATGTGAACTGCAAAACACTGGCTCATTCACTGATTCTCAGTTCAGGTGTCATTTTAAAACTAAAGCTTGCTAACAACAAACTTCAGTAAACTGTGTTGCTGCATTTAAAAAATGATTGAACCCATTAAGTTTAAATCTCTAATGTCTACATGACGCCCACCAAGATGAGGAAGTTGCCTTAGAAGAGCTATTGCTTTTGTTTTTAAAGAAAACACCCCAAAACATTAACAGTGCTACTAATTCCTGTTTCAGGCTTTAAAAAAGCTGTTAATACATGCTTAACTCTCAAACCTACTTTTCTTTTACTCCAGTGAGAAAGTTTACAGTGTATAAGAAAAGGATAGTATTACTATCAGAAAAGACATAAATGAAGGTATATTCTGCTATAGCATACCAGCTAAATGTCATATCCGGTTTTAACAGTTAATTTAAACATAGCTCTCTGCTTCCAGTGTATTTTGCAGAACGGAGATCACCCATTAAAGGTCACCTAGGGAACCACAAAGGAAGTCTTCTTTTTGAACTAACTTTCTACCACCACTGTTCAAGTCGATGTTGCAACAGAATCAGAGTGGGATTATAAAAAACTCCACTCAAAATTCATGTTTTTTCAAAGTTACGCTGAAGGCAAGCACTTCTCACAGAATACATAAGCAAAATCAATACTAAAAGCCTCTGTGTAACCATTACAAGGTTTTTGAGCCATGATTTAGTTTACCTGAAGTAAGTTTTCTTCTTCACAGAGATGTTTATCGACCTTCTTGTAGAGATTATCCAATCCCTTCTTCACTTCCTTACCAGGATATTCCTTTATAACTTTACGAAGCTCTTGTTTATTAAAAGCCAATTGATAGCTTACTTCCTCTTCCCGTATACCTTGTGCCACACGAGCTTCAACACCTTCAAAAAAATGCTAAACAAACAATAACAGCATTAAAGATTATCACAAATCTAAACAGATTAATTTGACAAGCATATGCGTAGTTAAGTCTTGATTCTGCTTGATACCCTGTTGTGTGTTCCCCCCATTTTTAATTTTTTTTTTTTTTTTAATTGACCATGAACTAGTGCTTAGCCACAAACATTAAAGCACAGCCCAACAATACAGGACTCATACTAGCATAAAACTGAAATCAATCTTTTCTAGAAACAATCAAGCTTTTCTTTGCAACCTTGTAACTAGTACTGACTCAGCCTCAAAATCCTCAATTGAGGCCAAAGCCTGGGAAAATACTGGATCTTTTGGATAACCTGAGTAAGCTTCTGAATAGGAATTTCCCTACTTAAACCACAGTTACACAACAGCAGTATTTGTTTATAATTGCCCTCTCTTCTCTCTACCCTGCAGCAGCTGGCTCACCATAATACAAATGGACGGAAGTCTGCCTATGAACAGGCATGTAGAGCCACACGGAGTTAACTTCCTTCATAGCAGTCTCTATGGTGCTGTGTTTTGGATCTGTGGCTAAAACAGGGCTTATAACACACCAATGTTTAGGTTCTTGCTGAATAGGTCAAACCTGGCCAAAGGGTATTATGTTACATCATGCTTAGCTATAAAAATCAGGGTTAGAACAAGTGGGGGTGGTGGTAGTCTTCAAAGTGGCCATTGCTTAGAAACCGGCTGGGCATCAGTCTCCTTGTGGGAGGCAGTGAGTGGCCGCCTTTGCATCACTTACTTTTTTTCCCCTCCTCTGTCTCTCTCCCCTTCACTGATTAAACTGTCATTATCTCCAACTCAAGTTTTCTCACTTTGCTCTTCCTGTTCTCTCCCCTCTCCTGCTTGGGGAGGGGGCAGCAAGCAAGCAGCTCGTTATGCAGCAGCTTAGGTGCTGGCCAGACTTGACCCACAAGTGGGAAGCAGCAACAAAGCATTTTAATTTTCAAAAAGGTAATATATCTTAGACTTTTCAGAAAATGAATGGCTGATACCCTGCTTAAAGAAAAAACAATGAACAGTGGGAAGCATTCAGTGGGCAGAACTGAGTCTGAACCTAAGCCAGCATTCAGGTTAACAGTTCAACTTTAGACATGCAGAACTTCCCTAAAACTTTTCTTATAGTTGAACAATTTAGAAACTGTAGTCATTTTCTCTGCAGTTGAGGGGGAGGAAGTTCTCCCAAAGCCCCTGCTTACTTTTCCCTTCACTTTTTCCTTCATCAAATCCATGTGCTTAAGACACAACTGATGTTCAGTCAGTACTATTCATTGCCATGAAAAATTTGGTTATTTTCATCCAAGACTGTCACCCTCACGAGCAGAGTACCCTTGCCAGACATGCTCGAGGCTAAAGTAATTAAATAAAGATTATAACAGATGCATTGATAAAGAGATCAAACTAAACACTTGAGAAATACTACTCCGTACCCTTTAAACGTATATAAATTCAAAGATACTTACATTCAATTTCTCAAGAGGCTGTCCAAGTGAGTAGATTACGTAAGACTGAAGATGCTCAGTGTATTTCTGTTTGGCTTCTTTTTTCTCAGCCTCAAGACAAGAAATTTTCAAGCGAGAAAGTGTTGCAAAAATATGATGGAAGTTCTCCATCATGACCACATCTCTGGGTGTTTTCTGGCTTTCATTAGCTACTTTCTCAACTGAAAGAAAAAGGAAGCAAAATACTGAAAACACCAAAAGGACAACCAAATTCGGGAAAATGTAACTGATAACCATAATGCTGTCAGAAGAAGAAATTTGGATTTTATGTGAACGATAACCATTTGTATGAGTGATTCGCATAATTTCCACTAAATAAATCAGTATCTGAGAGCCTTCAAAAGTAGTAACAGATATGTAGAGGCTCTAAGACCATGAAATTTGTATGCCAAAAATGTCACTTATAAAAAGATACAGAACAGAGACTACATATGGTCATTTATGTAAGTGAGAAAACCCACATTCTGTGGAGGCTTACAGGCATGCTTTCATTATCCCTAATAAATTTCACATGACAGAACTATTTAAAAGAATCTTCAATCCACTCTGCTAGAACCAAAATCTACAATAAGGTGGTGGGTTTTTTCCTAAAATGTACTTCCCAGGCTCTCACTTTTTTCTTGGCTTATTAGTTTTATGGTCAAAGTTACTGTCAATGCCCAAATTTAATAATAAAAATGGATAATCCTGCACATAGGTCTCTTACTTTTATCCCCCTGAAAAAAAACCCAAACCAAACCAAACCAAACCAACCACCAAAACTAAAACAGTGCAGGCAAAAGAAATTCTACTTATTGTACCTACAAGCAGGCTGAAAGAGGATGGCTTCAATGAGAAGCACAATTAAGTGTCTATGCCCATTCATCCATTAATAATTTTGCTGAGACTACCAGGATGCCCACCATAAAAGTGATCCTGGACACCAGAATATCAGTAAAGATCACAACTTCATTTCAGTCAGAACAGTGAATTATCAACTAGGAAGTCTGTTACTGCAATTTTGTTCTTCCCACATAATTTTCTAACTGCCTCCTTCAATTCTACATGAAGTACTACATCCATCTGACCCACTTCAAACATTACTTGTATATTAAAGATGCTACTGCATTCAACATATGGCTTGCACTGATTTTGTACATAATTTTGACTTTGTTTCATCTTCATTCTTTACTTCTATCCCTTGTCTTCCTACGTCATAATTCTTTGTTCTTAAAGTTTGCTCTGTACTTGTCTGAAACAGATTCTGTTTCTTCTTTGGTCTTTGGCATAATTTTGAACTCCTTTTAAAACACGCTTTTCTAAATTCTTCCTACACCGATTATTTTATCATTGTATGATTTTGCCTGTCTATTGGTGTTTGCTTAGTTTTATCACTTGAACAGGAAATTCTTAAGGACAGAAAAGTTGGGTGCAATCAAGTAAACATTTTCTAAATTTACTGTCCTATCAGCTGGGATGGTGCTGCTGACTATGTATGGACTCTAGTCTACTGTACTGTAAATAATGCCTCTTCACGGTTTCCAAATATTTTCAGAACCACTGTGCTATAATTTCCTCAAACTAGCTTGATTGCCTCTGCTCAATCTTCTCCTAAAAAAGAGGTAAGTCTCAGTTGTTGGGAATGACTATACATGGAGTTGTTTGGAAAACTGCAGGTAAATCGGTACGGAAAGATCTGTCCATCCACATCCACCCATATTAAAAGAGAATGACAATTTTTCCAGAGTACATTGACCTTCATATTCCTCTGCCCCCTTTAAAAAAACAAACAGAACACACACACACACACAAAAACAGTAAGCAAAGGTGTTTCTGCGGTTTTTTCAGACTACAGCTGTGAAAACAGGGAGGACTGAAGAGATATTCTGCTGTGTCAGGCTGGGACACAAAGTACGTAGTCTGCCAAGAAAGGGCCAAATTCATAGCCAGAAGTCAAGTGATTTATTTTAGACAGGGCTGTAAAGATGAACGGTATTAAGGCCAAATGCCAGGGATCCCATCCAGATTTATCTCCTCATTTAAGCTACACTGGGGGAGAAAAGACAGGAAACCTCTTCAGGTCTTGGGTTGTTGCTATCTCCCCTCCTGCCCCCTCCACCCGAGTCTTAACCACTTCTCTCTGTCATAACTGAAAGCTACTTTACAGATATGTACAAAGGGAAATATCTACAGTTTGCTCTTGAAAAGTATATTACAATCAAAAGGTTTACACTTGCTCTCCTACTGATAACAGAGATGACCAAAATTTCAGCACAAGATCAGTCACGTGGCTTGCAACAGTCATAAAAATTTAATTCTGTTAATTGAAGCAAAATTCTATGTAAATAGGATGAAACAATCATTTCGGTAACTATGATATCAGAAGACCTACCACTGACAAAAACAGCTCTAATAAGTTTTATGTAGGCTTTATCCAAATCTCCTCGTCGTTCTGCGTTTTTGAAAATTGATTCAGCGAGGGCTGCAAACTCTTCAAATTCAGCAACAAATGGAAGGATCCCAACTTTACTCTTCTTTGAGATTTTTACTTCATCCATCTGCTTCATTTGATTACTCTTAAATTTAAAACAAGAACAGATGTTAGCCTCCAATATGACTCCAGACTATCTAACAACTAGTACAAGAAAAGAAAAATGCACACATACAGAAAAAATGACATTTATTCAAACATGGAAATATTATCATATTTCAATTAGTGTATCTACATAGTCTTTCTCCTTTTACCTTCAAAAATTTAAGAGATAAAATACTTAGAACAAAAGGAAGATGGGCAAGTAAAATATTTCAGCTTTTATTCTCCTTTGTTTACTTAGTATTAAGAAAAAAAACCACCAAGAAAAACGCCAAACTTACCCATCAGAAGCAACTTACAATTTTCATTCTACAATCTAACAAGGAACTTCCCTTTTCTGATTCAGCCAAGCTAAGAATTCCTTTTGCTACTAAGAAACTAAGTAAGTTTTTTTATCTTCTACTGAATTTTTATCTCTAATTAAAAAAATAATCAGCTTCAAAATATTTTAAGCATTAAACTATTTGGCATATTACACTCAAAGGGGAAAAGCAAAACCCCTTCTAAGTCCATGAAGTTTTGTTCTCATAAGTGCAAAAGGCAGAGAGCTATAGTTTACTTGACTGACTTCAGTAATCTCAGTAAGATCACAAGTTTAAACAAACAGCTAAAAACGTCAGCTAGCTCACAGCAGTGAATGAGTGGTCATATTTGTTACAAAAACATAATTACCAAAGATGACTGAAATGGAGAAGAAAAAGAAACACAACAACCAATGAGTTTATCTTTTTTGAAGGTTTGGCCAGTAGATGAGCAATAACGTTACTCATTTTCACTTCAAATTGAAAGCAAAAATTTAACTATAAAGAAATGCAAAATCAAAGTGAGTAGGACTGGGCTTCCTATATTATAATTAGCTTAATCAGAATAACTAAAGAACTTACAATGCATTTATCGAAGTTCCTTTTGACAGTCACCAAAACATTTCCAAGTGTTGTGCTGAGAAAGGAAGCTGGGTCCACATTTTGTGCTGTCCATACATGATGACTCATCTTAACTAACATATAAAGGGAATTAAAGCTATCAATCTTGTCCCCCAGAGCTATAAGATTATTCAGCTCAGGTTCAATACAACGAAATATTTTTGTCATCATTTGTCGGATCATGTCCTTCCTATTAAAAATGCATAAGATAAAAATATTACGCTGACAGTTTACTAGGCTATTGTACATGTTCTCCGATAACATTTTTAGCATAAGTTTATTAGATATAAAAGTCTCATTTGCATCGAACAAGTCTCATGTTTTTCAGAATGCTGCTAAGGGAAGAAATGTCAATACCACACAGTAAATCAATAGTCACACGCATAAAATATTCCAACAAAATATTTTCTGTGTGGAAGCTGCTACACACTCAAATTCAGAACTTTGCTAAGCATATTTTCCAAAGCATATTTTAAATATTACAGTGCCTAGTTTCACTGTGCAAACTATTAGGGAATTAAGCATCTTTTTTATACTATTATAGAAGGAAACATATCCTAAACATTTTCGTATTTGCTGACACATTCAGTGTTCAGGTACAAATTAAGAGTTCATTATTCATTTCCACTAAAAGGGAACAATTTCTGATTATAAAGAAAAAAGTTTTATATGCCTAATAAATTCATATGTAGGCTTTAGAGTCAATAAAAATAACAGCAGCACATACTCGGATGATACTGTTTGTGGAACACCAGAAGTGTATGAACGAGATAAAATTCCTCCATCCATTTCCTCCGCTTCATTCTGTAAGAACAAGGAATACAAATACAGAAACCTGAAAGCTTGTTTCCAATTCTGTGTTGAAGTGGTAAGTATATCTGACAAAACCAACATCATTATCTGCCCTCAAACTCGCAAATACAGTGGTTTCCAAGGTTCCATTAGTTTTCTGGTCATGTTCCCTAGAATACAATGCTACCCAGTTACTCCCCATTGCCTTCCTACAAAGCATGATGAAGTGTTTATTGTGATCTTATGAGGAAACAAAGCCATGGCAAAAGAAACGTCAGTCCTTCTTTAACAGACTTTGTGTTGGTCAGCCAAAAATAAAGATTTTGCCAGCTAATGGAGAAAAACAAATTATAGGTCACATAATTGCCAGATAAACTCAGAAGTTACCTTTTAAGCAGGTCTCTTATGAGATCTGTTCAATTTTTTTTACTTCAGTGACAGAATTAAAAGTCATACCATTGCTGTTCCCGAGATGCTCTGGTGTTGCTGTAGTTTGAAAAATTTACTAATGAAGTCCTGTTCTGCCAAACAGAGAGGCTCAAGTTCACTTAATACTTGCTCGAAAATCTAAAGAAAGCCAAATACTTTTATCAACACACCACATACTATGAACAGTTAGTAATACTAATTTTAATTGTTTGTTGCATACAATTTTACACTTTCTGTCTCCAGCAAGTTTTAGAAGGCTTATTTCTACTTAATATGTAGCTTGTACTTATACCTTTAAAAGTGATACCTGCATCTTCAACATAAAACCTTCACATCCATGTAACATTTGGAAGAAAAGAACAATCTATCTTTTTCCGTAACTGGAAGTTTTCTAGTCATGGCATGAGGAAGGACTTTTCTGCTATAATAAAAACATTTGCATTTTAATAGTAAGTCATGGGTTCTGCTATCCTCTTTTCTGCCTGGGTTGCTGAGAGGAAGACGACAAAATTAAAAGCCTCAGCGAAGAAAAACAGGTAAACTCTGTATGCAGAAGATAACTGCTTTATAGAAAGTTTCTGCATAGCAGCTATAGAAACCAACAGCAGCTATAGCTTTAATTCTAGACAAATTGCTGCTGCAGGTGTGTAAAGACTGTTTCAGGCATCTAATACTTCCTCCCGGAAAAAGATTGAGCTAGGATTTGAAGAAGTCAGAAGAAAAATATTCATCTCCATCAAATAATTTGATTAGAAAACAAGAAATTTATCTATCTTTCTATCTCACACTGGTAACAGCTCCTTTTCCCTTCACAGTACTGAGTAGTTAAGTCCACAAGAAGTGAGGAGCCCTGTCACTTTTAAAGAAGGAAAAAAACCCAAAACATATGCTGAGAACACTTCAATGACTTAGTGCCATTAGTTAAAGCTGAAAACTGATGCTAACTTTCCTCTGAAACCAGTATAAATAATATTTTAGGGTCATGCTCAGGTCCTGGCTAAAAGAAGATTGTGCTTTCTTATCTTTCACTTTTGCTTACATACTGGCAAAATGCGACAGAACACATGAACGCTTGTACTGAGGAAAAAAAGTACGAGTTGAAGAATCTATCAGTTCAATTCCTATTTCCTTAAAAATGCATAAAATTAATAGACCATTTTTAGGCTTGATATTCTTTACAGATCACATTTAGCATATAAAGGAACTAAATGGAATATTATAATCAGAAAATGATACTCTGATCTACTTACCTCTTAGAAACTGCCTTTACTAGATGTGTGGTGCATACAGAATTTGAAACTGGCATGTTTTAAGATTTAAACAGTAACATCTTTAAACTATACAAGAAGGTTATGCAAGATGCTTCTGATAAAGAACTAAGGAAGAATCCCATACAACATTTTGGCTTTACCTTATCAAATTTTGTTCTATCAGCTACATCAAGGTCAGAGGCAGACATGTTTCCCATATCCAACAGTGAGGATGACTGAGACCTACGGTTTCCCGAACTCTGAACAGAAAGTTTATTTAGGCTAGAAGTAGACCCAGTCAATTTTCCAGAACTTCCATGAAGACCTGTGAAATAAAGACACTATGAAGGAGGGAAGCAAAGACGGAATAAAATACTCAAGAACAGGTTCATTACAGAATGCATGAGATCAAGAGTTGCTAGTAGTCCTACATTAAAATCAAACAACTCAATTTCTGTCTAAGCCGCAAATGCTTTTGCTATGAAAATTTTCTTTTCTTATTACAAGGTAACTGAAATACTTAATCCAGTTTCAAAGCTACTACATAGCTATATAAGCCCTCATTGTTAAGTATAGAAAAAGGTATAAAAGGAACAAAACTGTGAAATACAGGAACACTGGGACAGATATGCTCCTTGAAAGCTTGGAACCGAAGACCAGTTATGATCTTTGTGAATGTATTCTGCGGAAAGGCTGCCACAAGCAGAAGAATTATTCCACAAGAGGGAAAAAAATAAAGCACTTTATATCTACACAGGCACTTTTTAATCTTGAGCTTGATCTTTCTGCTGTTAACATCCTTTTGTCTATATAGTTTGCTCCAGCTATTTTTGCTAGGTCTACAATCCCAGAGTGACCCTACTGTGACTGCTCCTCCCTTCTGATCATAATTAACATTCACACATTTCTTTCTGATACTAGGTGAGCAGCATCCTTGTAGTTTTATTTTTTCCCCGATTTTCAGAAATGCTGGAACAGGATGGAGAATGCTAGTAAAAAAAAGACCAAGTCAATATTTGATCCCCATGTAAACTTTTCACATCTCAACCACAAAGGAACTTAAAAGTAATCCTGCAAGTTTCATTTAACTGCAATGTTGGTATCCAGTCCAGGGACACAAACAGGACAAAGCCTACAGATCTAATAAAAGTTGTTACGTTAACCTACTGGTAGAGCTAGAAAACTACAACAAGCTCTCAGGCACAGCCATTTTCTTTTTAGATCAACAGGTAACATGGGAAAACTACAGATTTAGCCTTTACCTGCAAACCTTCTCAACTTCTATGTTGGGCCATTTTAGCCATGCTTCATTTTTGCCTTGCAAATGCTTATTTTCACTCTGAACGGAGTGCTTCAGTGTTAAGTAGATTTTCCACGATGCAGCACTACATCTTTACATTGACACGCATGCATTGACAATACCAATGAATGCAACTAGTTATACTCACTCTCAGTTTCCTGTTTGACAGCACTTTCTTTTCGAGGCAGTGTAGCTGGGATGGATTAGGTTGCAAGCATCAAAGACAAAGACAAGTTAAAATGCAGTTTGCACAAACCATGCACAAGATGCAAGTTAAGCTCTAACTGGAAAGAAACATGCGGAGAACTATAAGCAGCAAGTAACTACATTGCAAACACATTTAGTTGGAGAGGTACTATTCTAGAAATTCAGTATCTAAGCTACATGGAAAACAGAGGGAGTTTCTAGGTATTAAGCTTTTGTTTTTATTATAGTATGTTGAAAGAACATTTTTGGTAACACATATTGAAGTTCTCCCAAATTGAGAAGTCAGTTAAATTAGGGCTTTATTTGTCAGAGTTACTATTGCAAAAGACTCAGTTTCCAAAATCAATCATCATATCAATAACAGACATGAAGAAATTAAAGTGTATTTATGTAATTTTGTACTGAGTCAGAGATATTGTCCACCTCTTCAATTTAAAAAACACACACCAATACTGCAGAATCATTCGTATGACAGTAAGACTGGTTAACATTTTCTCTTGTTTGCAAATCAGAATGTTTACATAGAGAATACACCTTTTGTATTCACACTGCACCAAAAATTGATGACTGCAATTTCAGAGAGAATGAAAACAATAAATATATAGTAAAAAAAAATTACAAGGGTTTTTATTATTTTTCCTGGGTTTTTTTACAGAATAAAACAGTTTCCTTAAGTGGACTTCAATATAAAATTTAGAGTAACTGGGCATTTGTAGTAAATAAAGAATCCCTAACCAGTAAAGGCATTTGCATACATACACTAAAAGCAGTATGTGGTATTAAGATCTTGATGAGGATGGATGCTACAAGGCCCCCAGAATGGAGCAGACAAGCAGAACCTACTGTAATAGAATGAGTAAATACTTCTAAATGCCACAAACATGTCTTAAATACCAGATGTTCTCAAGTAGGCAACACTACTGACAACTACTGCATAAAAGTCAAATTTAATTCCAGCCTAGGTTTTAAGTCTTGAGGGTTTTGGCAGTTTTTGAATAAAAACGTTTAGACCTGATATATTTTTGGCATATGCATCTGTCATGCATTGGTCCCACTTCTTCATTATCCTCAATTTCCAAATGCACAGAACTGTATTACCGAATGTGAAGAATGACAGGCCCTGGACAACCAGGTGAGCCATAGCGGCTTTTGAGAAGCCACATCATGTAAGCATATGACAGTAGCAGCACTCTTTCCCACATTGATTTTATGGTATTTAAGTATCAAAGTCTTGGCTTCATCAGAAAAAAAAAAGAAAGGAAAAAAAAGAGACTACTTAAGACAAGTGTGAACGCTCATGACCCAGATTTTTTTGCCATAAAAATGCAGACAAAGAACCTTGCACTAGCACAGAATGCCAGAATTCTCCCAGCATCCCCTCTGCATCTGAGGCATTCAAACAGCAGTGCTATTCCCAAAGCACAAAAAAAAGGCAAGAACACACACCAACACAGCTTGGAAACAGATCCTCTTTAGTGTCTGATTACAACTGGAGCATTAGGCACCTACACTACTACGTAAGTAAGTTTACTATTAAGAAGTGATGTATTTTGCATTAATGTGCAACTCGTAACAATGTACAACCGCTACCTTCAACATAGAAGCTTTTGAAATTACACACCGTTACAAGCTGTTACAAAACAAAAAAATAACTTGATATTTAAATAGTGAAATGAAATCATGTTTACATAAGCAACAGTTTTAAAACATACATAAACATTTCTTCTTTAGAAGATCAGTACTGAGGACTTAAGTTTTTTTGTTCTAATTCATTGTCAAATTCGCTTGTGGCTTCAAATATGTGGCCACTGATGTCCATTACTTAATGTTTTATATTACCATTCATAACATTAATTATTCTAGAAGAGTACCCACTGGATACAGCTTCCAGTTTTGGCTTTGTGACTGGTTCCTACCAGTTTTCAGAGGACTGTGCACTTGGGTCAAGTTCTGCACATCAGTCAGTCACCAGCAAAACTCAAACATAAACATAATCTTTGTAAGATTGTGACAATGTAGTATTTAAAAAAAAAATCAAATGAAGAGAGCTTGTTAAAAAACATCTGCTACTCTCCTCAACTGTTTTGAGCAATGTTCAAATATGTTTGAAGTTTGCACAAATACACAACAGAAGCCTTCTCAAGGTGCACCTCTTATGCTTACAAACTGAAGTACCTCTTTCTCCAAATTGCCCGATCACTTCGTAACATTTACAGAAGTTATGAAATCGCTACAAAAACTGCCTCCTCACAAATGCAAATCACAAAAGATTTGCCAGGATAAAGCATTTAGAATGTTTTAGAAATGAGGTTATATTAGGATACTGTTTTGTTCTTGAAAAATCATCAAGATTTATGACTTTAACTGTTCTGACGACACTTTATGGCACCATTTGCGCTCCATGTCCAATAGCTTGCCATGACTTCTCTTTCCAGCTTCTCCTCCCTCAGTCAAGCCTCACCACTCTCCTGCTTTCTTCCTTTCAATACTTGTTTCTGTTCTCTACCATCAAACTTCAAAGCATAAGTTCAGGACCCAAAATAGGCTTGACAGAACCTACTAGTTAAAGCTGCACATAATTTCAGAATTTAGAATTTGGAAACTGGTGAATTATGGCAAATATACGTAGTTTAATCAAGTTTTGAAACAATGCACTTTAAAATATAGAATAGCCAATACATACCTATATCACTGTTGCTTTCTAAGTATTCCGGTTATTTTTTAAAAAAGCTGCACTTACATACTCACACTAGACTATTTAATCCTA